TCTTAAGTCTTGTCTCAAAATGGGGTGAGGTGGGGTGGGGTGGGTGGTTTTTATTTAATTTATAATTAATTTAATTAAAATATAAATTTAAAAATTTGTAATTTTTAAAACTTTTTTAGATAAAATTTAGTTAGAGGGATTGAGATTTTATAATTGAAAAAAATTAAGAGATTAATAATTTAATATGATATATATAGGGATTTTAGATAAAAAATTTTAATAAATATTTTTGTATAAGTTAGATGAAAAATTAATTAAAATTAAATATTATATTTTGATTTTGTTATTTATTAATTTATTAATTTATAACTTTATATTTGAAATTTAATAATTTTTTGTTGTTTTGGTATTTATATTGTTGTCAATTCTTTTGCTATTAAATTAATTCTTATTAATTGATTTTTATTTTTGTGTAATTATTGAAGATTCTATTTATTATATAATATATTGAAAGTAATTTGTGATAAAAAAAATTTTACATCAATTAGTGTATCAAAAAAATTAATTGACTTAATAAATTTAGCATTTTATAATCTATTATTTTTAAGATTAAAAATTAAAAATTAAAAAATTTAACGTAGATTCAATTTTTAATGATAGAATAAATAATATTAATATTTTTAAATATAAGTTTATTTTATTTTTATACAAAATAGAAGATGCCATGACGTTATTTAATTTTGTAATTAATTTTATTAAAATATAAATTTAAAAATTTGTAATTTAAAAAAAAATTTTAGATAAAATTTAGTTAGATGGATTGAGAATTTATAATTGAAAAAATTAAGAGATTAATAATTTAATATGATATATATAGGGATTTTAGATGAAAAATTTTAATAAAACTTTTGTATAAGTTAGATGAAAAATAATTTAAATTAAATGTTATATTTTGATTTTGTTATTTATTAATTTATAATTCTATATTTAAAATTTAATAATTTTTTGTTGTTTTGGTATTTATATTATTTTCAATTCTTTTGTTATTAAATTAATTCTTATTAATTTATTTTTATTTTTATGTAATTATTGAAGATTCTAGTTATTATATAATATATTGAAAGTAATTTGTGATAAAAAAATTTTTACTTTAATTAGTGTATCAAAAAGATTAAGTTATTTAATAAATTTAGCATTTTATGATCTATTATTCTTAATATTAAAGACTAAAAATTAAAAAAATTAATGTAGATTCGATTTCTAATGATAGAATAAGTAACATTAATATTTTTAAATATAAATTTATTTTATTTTTATACAAAATAGTAAATATGCCATCACGTGAAAGTTTCCGAGTAAAAGAATAGATGGCACGCGAAGTGATAATATAGGTTGGCATTTTGGAACACTTGTGCCAAATATAAAAGGATTTCATGCAAACTTTATGGTAAAATTATAAAATGAGGAATAATACATTTCAAAGAACACATTGCTAATAAAACATGTAATATTGCAGCATGCCCCAATGTTACTGGTATGTTATTTTTTTATAAGTACTTTGAAAATATTATTGTTAATTACTCAATAAAAATTATAAAATTACATAAGTATATACAACTAATTATTCCCTTTCCAACCCTGCATCGATCTTACTTAAAAAGTTGATTCGCGTATTTTCTCTACATAGAGATAATCAATGTTAGAATAGTAATTAGATTTGTAAGATTAGATTTGTTGACAATATAAAAAATTATTTTTTAGATTTATTTAGTTTTAACAAAAATAACATGTTATTCACATGTGATGTGTTATTCACATGCTAGTGTTATAAATATCATGTATTATTCGCGTGTTATCAAGGATAATATAGTAAAAAAATTTATTAGTTAATTTTATATTTCCACGCACCAAACACAAAAAATCTTACATTCCCAAAGTGAGCACAACTCAAGAATCATACATTCTACTTTAATATCACTTTCCTCTAAATCACTTCATATTGCGATTTAAGAATCCTGTAAACCTTAAATTGATTCTTATTTTGAAATGACAAAGCATTAAATTAAATAAGTTTGATTATGTTTTTGCAAATAGATTTATTGAGTTCTTGTTCTTAAATTTTATTACTTTTGTACTAAATATATAATATGTTTATCAAAATGATGTTTAATTTACTAGAACTTGGAAAAGTGTTTTTAAGTGTTTTATCAATTGAGAATTTGTTTTAGAACACAAGCTAACTTTTTTCCATGGTTTAAAAACATTTTGTGCAAAAATGCAAAGAAGGGATAAATCCCCTCTTGCATAGGATTGATTAATTTTTTACCTGAAAAACTTTCAAGTTCAATTTTTAGCAAAACCAATTGACACCCTATGATATATGATCGATTGGGTTTAAGGCTTGGAAAAACCAATCGATCATATAAGGGAATGGATCAATTAGATTTTTGTCTAGAAAGCCACAAAACTTGAAACTAACCAAAAGAGATCAATCCGCTACAAAAAAGGATTGATTGGGTAGCTTACAAGATCGATTGGGTCCAAAAATCAATCAATCGGGTCTTGTCTAGAATGCCTCAAATGACTAGTTTTTTAAATTTTCAATGGGCATTTTTACTTCCAATCAATCCCAAATGGCTACAAACTCATTTTCTTTATAAATTAGACATTCCAACACACCATTGAGAGAGAAGAAACAAGATAGTAAGCACCAACAAACCATACATTCATTCTCTTAAGAAATCAAGAGTTTTTAGAGCTTAAATTCAATGTCTTTTGTATTTCTTGTATCCATACTCTTTTTTATTGTTCATTTATCATCATTTGTACTTCATTAGGTAACATTTAACCTTTGAGAGATGTTTTTGTTTGTAAAATATTAGAGCAAAATTGTAATTCAAAGGTGAGGCATCCTCTTAAAAGGTTTTAAGAGTTTTTGTAAACACTCATTTTATAAGACTAGAAGATGCTTTCTCAACCTAGAAAGATACAAGGTGAGAGGTTGTTATCTTAAGCCTAAAAAAGATAGGATTGCTTCTTGTAAAAAATTTTTCAAATAATGGATTCAAGTCCTTGACAAATGAGTTAAAAGAGATGACATAAGTGTTTTTGGAGAATGATGGAATTTTTATAAATTTTTATATTTGATTTCTTTATCCTTATTCTTTTTATTATCATTGTTGGTTATATTTGATTTAATTTTCTTTATTATTATTAATATCATCCATTTTTTATCAAAGTTTTTATTAATTTTTATTTTTTCAATCGAATTTATTGAAATATATTTTTTAAAAAAATTTTAAAAAAATCAAATTCATCCGTTCTTCTATTATTACCTACACTTTAAGCTAAAATCAAACTCCCGTAAACGGAAAAATATGAAAACCACAGGCTTTAAAATTGTGAAAACTTTTTATAGAAAGGATAAAAATGCTACCTACTAGGAGAGTGACCCACGTTTTCCAGGGGAAGAAGAAAAGGACACGTTGCCCACGAGTACTGCTGACCTACAAAGGAGCATTGGATGGATTTCCTCTTAAAAGGAATATGTTCAAATTCCTTTTGAGAAATTTAAATACGATGAATGAAGTGATTTACTTAGGACCAAACTCTTGTCTAGCCATACATTTTGTCATAGAGAATGAATCAGTAATACATCAAATTAGCATGAATGAATATGCTTTTAAGATCATCGTTGTCCAAACAAAAGTTACTGGTTTAAGGGTAACGAAATTTTCAAGTAGGGTTTACATTTTTTTCATAAATATATTTATTTTGCTTACAAAAATTTTCCAAATATATACAATATTAATGAAGATTTTAAATTTCAAAAACAACACCAGAGAATTATCGCCTATCATATTAAGCTATATTTAAGCTTACAATATTAAAAAGGTAAATATTAATGGAAATTCATTTCTGTTATACTATAGGAAAAGAAGCACCCCTCAAGGCCTCTGATTAAACTTGTAGGGTCATAATAATAAGTAATTAAAAAAAATAAAGGATCTATTTACATTAATATAAGTTTTAATTTTTTTTGTTTACTTTTGAATCAAAATAGCTAAAATTAAAATATTATTTTAATCTAAATTAGTTATGAATTTAATTTTAGTCCAATAATAAATAATTATAAGGCTTATGCTAATATAAATAGATCTTTACTCTTTGAAATGAACAATTACAACACTCATTTCTTTACAAAAATTCGTTCACAAAAATTGTTTACGCAAATTAGACACCTAAATTGCTAACTTCATAATAGAAAAGGTATATGCTTTAAACCGCCATTGACCGCTCCAACCATCATTATAAATTGCACATCATTAGCCACATTTATAGATAATTAGGTATAACATGTCATTTTTATTTTTGATTTTTAAAAAACTTTTTGGGATTGAAATTAGAGAATAAATAAATAAATAAAATCTAAAAGAAAGAAAATTGTGGACAGAATGAGAAGAAAAAGAGGAAAGGAGTCAAGAGAGAACAGACAATATCTAATTAATTTTTATTTGTCAATAAATTTAATAATTTGTATAAACAATTGAATATTCATGCACTATTTACACAAAAGTTACGTATTACAATAGGTATTAATATAAAAATACAATATATTTTTTTTTATTTTATTAAATCTATTTATAATTTTTATTAAAATTTTAAATCATATCATTTTTATATTTTTTATATAATTTTTTTTGTTTTACCATTGTATCATATATTAAATTATTTTCTTATTTTATCATTATATCATATTTTAGATTGTTAAATTTATTTGCTAGCCGCTCCCATTCTCTCTTCCCTTCCTTTTGAATTTTTCCCTTATTCTCTCTTCTTGATTTACCTTTTTTGAATTTGTAATATTTTTGTCTAGGTTTTGTGAATTTTATATTTTGGAAATTTTTATAAAAAATAAAAGAAAAATAAAAATAAACTAACATTTTATATATGCACAATGTTCTGATTGGATTTTTTTTTTAACACGTCACCCATTTGACCGTCAAAATAAAAAGATCTGCAATGGAATTGAGATTTTTTTTTTTTTTTTTGTTTAGGTACTAAATTGACAAATTCATTGTGATTCAAGTACGAAATAAATAATTAACCTTAAAGGCTAAAACAAAATATTCGAACCAGCTGGTGTAGACTTAAAACATAATGTGGCATGTAAAAAGTCCTGGATTCAAATGCATCTCTAGATTTCCTTTTGTCTTGTGGTATTTTATAGAAACAGAAGTACATATCAGCAAAGCTTAAGTAAACCACTAACTGAAGAAACTATAGCCAGTTGGAAGCATCCATCAAATAAAGAAGCACCCATGCCACCACACACACACTGAAATGATACTTCAAAAGGAAAGAAAGAGTCTACAACCAATAAAACATGTTCGATACCAGTGTGTTTGCATTTATTTAGAGACTGCCATGGAAAGAAACCCATCTACAAACGATCTCTGGTTACTGGTTTGTTCGCATTTATTTTAGACTCAGTAATGGCAAGAAATTTATCTGTAAATGCTTCTGACTGCACACTCTGCATCAAAGTTACCTTCAAAATTTACCTAAATTCACCAAACTGCAAAGACATTTAAGCTAAAACTGCAAAGACAATTGACACTTCTCAGTTCCAATCGTATATCATAACCATGAATCTAAGTCTTACCTTGCCCTTCACTTTCTGTTCATATCTCCCAAGCACACGTATTTGAGCTGCATCACATGAAAGATTGCTTCAGCAATGAGGCAAAAGGAAAGCAACAAGCGAATCAAAGACAATTGCATGTTGCAAATTTTGCTAACAGTGATTTTCAGAAAAATGCATTAAGGTGATATCAGATTTTTACACTCACTTCAAGATATTCATCCATCCCATACTTGGAACCTTCTCGTCCAAGACCAGACTGTTTGACACCACCAAATGGAGCCACCTGAATTGAAACAAACAAACCATAATTTAAATCTACAACTGCTTCCTTTTTTTTAACCTGTTAATACATGCAAATATGACCCACCTCAGTTGAAATGAGTCCTTCATTAACACCAACAAGCCCATATTCGAGAGCTTCTGAGACACGCCATGTACGTTGAACATTGTTTGTAAATATGTAAGCAGCTAACCCTGCATATATGCAAGAAAGCATGTGCTCTAATAAATAAACCTGTACGATATTAATCCTAGAAGAGGAAGTACATAATAAATTCTTGAATGAGTAATTTTATCAAGATTGATTGATTAGATTTGCTAGATAGATCATTGTCAAGACTCAAGAATTGAATTAAAAAAATAAAGATTACGAATGTAAAAAGACAATAGTTTAGCTTATCCATCAGAACACAAATAAAGCCTGAAAAATGAACCTGCATTGGTGTCGTTTGCAATGCGGATAGCTTCTTCCTCAGTTTTGAACCGCATAAGAGGTGCCACAGGTCCAAATACTTCCTCTCTGACTTAAGACAAATTTAAATGTATCTCATAAATCTAGACATAAGTACAAAAGGACAGTTACGCAGCAAAGTTGATGTGACAACCTAATGGCATGTACATGAGAAGAAATTTAATTTGATGTTTATATAACTGCATATTCAAACAAAACATACACACAATGACACAGTAGCTTAGACACCAAATTGACTGAAACACTTCACCGCTTCCATAATGCATTATGCATTACACTCTATCGACTCCTTTGAAGCAGCAAGGATAACATGATCTATCATGGCCCAAACATACACACGATGACACAGTAACTTTGGTAATGCAGTAAACTCTATCAACTCCTTAGAAGCAGCAAGGAGCATGACAGCATTCATGAAAACAAAAGCTATATTTGAGATCCTAATATAATCCATCATAGACTGACATGCAGAATTCCAATAAAAAATTAAAAAAAATTCAATTTATCAAATGACCCTTGCAAAATACTGAGAATGGAAATTGCTTTTAAGCAACCATCAGGAGATATATTACAATGAGTATCAAAATGCTTCAGTACAACCAATTATTTAGCCTGAAAACTAATTTTCAATTGAGATTCTACCAAATTAAAAAACAAATGGGGTAAAAGCAAGAATGGAAGTTAAAAACAAAAAACACTATTACTGCACAAATCCTCATGCATTCCAACTCAAGAATAGTTGCTTATTATTACAAGTGTTTTTGCTGAAAAGGTAAGAATGCAATTTAGTGTTAAGTGAATTTTAGTGCATTTTTAATCCTAATTCTAGCCCAATTTTAGTAGCAAACTAAGACCAGAAAAGGCCCAAAGAAAGAGTGCTTGGTTTGGGTATCTAAATATGAAAAAACAAGCATTGAAAATTTTATTTTGAAGTCATCTGCAAGATAATCCAATAAAAGGTCTACAAAGACTTTAATTAAAGAATTCTACAAATTGTCTTTGCACACCTAATCCTAAACAGTGTTGTTAGCAGCGTTTTTGCAGCAAAAGGATAAAATTATTGTAGTTCATTGATTATTAACTCATAGTTAAAAGCCTAATTGTAACCCAATTCTAGCAAACCAAAACCAGAAAAAGCCCTACCAAATGGGTCTTGGTTTGGCTATCTAAATATTACAAAACAACCCCTAAAAATTTTATTTTCAAGCAATTATTTGAAGATAAATCCTACATGAAAAAAGGTGCAGAGGGAGTTTAGATTATCTTAATATACCCTTCTGAAGAAATATGAGGTGGAAAGCTTGGAAATTTAGTTTGGTGATAAAAGATAAAAATAAGGAAATCTAAATTACCCAAATTGCTTACTAAAAGAAACTTGTTATAATAAATTGCTACTACGTAAGAATTTAAAAAAAAAAAAAGTACAAGCAGAAGAACTTTCGTTAGCTTTCTCACAAATAAAGGCAAGTATATTTTTATAATTAAATTTAATACATAAAATAAAGGAGTTAGTGGAGCCCAGGAGTCAATAATCACCATAGACTAAACCCCACAGCAAAAATGTCTAAATTCTGAAAGCCACAAAGCTTTGAATGATGCAGATGCAAGGCATCAACAGAGAGATGAACAGACATAAGAAGAGAGAAGATAAGGCAACCTCCATTAGCTCCAAAAATCCCTCCCCCCCCCCCCCCCCTCCCAATTTCTTCTTTTTTCCTTGTGCTTTTGGAAGGAAAGAGAAGAAAATTTGCTAGGAAATTTTCCTTCATATTTTCTTTAAAAAGAATTCCTCATCTTTTTGCACTTTTAACCAAACTTGAGAAAATGGTTTCTAGAATTTTTTCTTTCCCTCAAATTTTCCTAAGACCAAACAAAGCCTAAGGCTACCAAAGAAGGTAAACAGACACATTACTAGGGGAAGGTGAGCTGCAGGAAGCCATGGCATTAGAAATAAATAAAGAAACAATGAGGAAGAAGCCTTAGTTAAATTTCAGAGAATGATCTCATTGAAAACTGATCACACAAATCGAATGAAGCATCCATGCTTCTTTTTTGTTTTTCTAGCACAAGAATGGAAGGCTGCAGGTAACACAGAAAGGAAGTAATATTCTATTTATTAGCCTTATACCTTTTTTGTTAGATGTCCAATGATTTTTTGTATTCAAATTTTAAGTTTTAATAAAAACTCACTTCTTTCGCAAGAGAAATGTATCTGTTTTATTTTTTTTCAATAAATAGATATATGTATGTTCATTAATACATCTTTTTCTTGCTCTAATTTTGATTGAAGGCATTCAAAAAGGTTATTGTTAACATTAATTCCCACTTTATTGGACATAATGAACCCATTGAATTCTTCTTAAAATTCTTCCACCATAAAAAAATGGAAATAATAATTTTTCCCAAGACATTTGTTTAAATTAGTTAATATCATGGCTTAGGTAAAGCATTTTACTAAGGTCAGACCATACAATCATACACTCAAGCATCAAGCAATAAAGTAGCAACAATCATCTCATAGTAGTAACCAATCTGAAATGTGAGCCAGCATATCTTTGAGGGCGTACCTTGCTAAAAGCATGTCACTTCTGACATCAGTAACAACTGTGGGCTCATAGAAAGTCATTCCAAGGCTATGTCTTTTACCACCAAGAATGATTTTTGCTCCCTTCAAAAAACAATGATCAATAAGAGATGACATAAATTAATTATTAACAGAAAAAAATTTGTAGGTTGTCACAGGCATTGACAAAACTTAGCAACACTTACAAAAAGAGGCAGGGAAGTAGGAGAGGGAGAAGTGTGGAACAGTAGAAGTCATTCATATTTAATCCACCATATAAAAAATGAGCAGGTACCCAAAATAATCGGGTGCAGGTGTCTAAAAATTAGTAAATACGGATGCGTTGCCATTCCTTGCTACAATGAGATGATGATTTTGGCATGATCTGGAGGAATTGCAACTTCTAATCATGCTAATATCATCTTCTCAACTCCTAATCATGCCATTCCATTCTACTTATAAGCAGTAAATCCTGAGCAGGATACTACCTAGTACAATTAGTACCAAACGGCAGTAACTTGTATATTCCTTAAAAAAATAGGCAATAAGTATATCTGGTAAAATCATATAGCACTACCAATAATATCTTGTCCAATCATATGGCACTATCATTAATGATTAATTATCAGTAACAATGAGCATCAAACACATATATGTGTTTCATGAAGTTTCATTACATTCATAGACTTTTCAGTACATCAAAACCTGCAATTCAGACAACAAAATGCTTCTGGGCATTGACAACCATCTTCAACATTAATTAAATCTGAATATAGGGCTGATCCATTTTCCATAAATGTATTATTAAAGTTTTATTGATAGTTTCCTAGATATTTTCCATTTGTAATTTTAACATACTGAACGGTAAGTTAACAGATTAAACTGTTAAGTACTTGAACTAATGATTAAGAAAAAGCCAAGTGTAGTGAAAATGAGGATGCAAAACCATAGGCAACTATGAATTAAAATGGAAATTAGGAGTAAAGAAAATTGACTGCTAAATACTTGTCTTATAAGAATCAGTTAAAAGTTTAGCAAGCACCAAACTTAATTTTGCAGATGCTGAAAATTTTAATCAAATTTATTATAAAGAATGCCACCAAGGAACACAAACATCAATTCATGCATCATCTGGCCACCTACTCATGTACCAGGTTCCAGCTTTAACTTTTGACCAACTAAAGTTGTTAATAACACGTTCATACTCAAAATGAAAACTTAAAATACAAATATAACATTATAATTCCTCCAGAGAATGTCAATACACAATACATTCTATAACAGTACTAACTTGTCTAAGACAATTGGCACTCATAAAGTTTGACAGGAAATGTTAAAAACAAACCTTTGATATAGAATCTTGAATGAATGATTCAACCTGTGAAACAATACAAGAAAAATTCAAAAGAATCAGAGATATGGTAGTTGATAAAAATTAGAATAATTAATGCAAAGCTAACCTTTTGCACTGCAGCTTCATTAATTAGTGGACCCTACGTAAGTACAGAAAATCAAAATTATGATCCTTAAGCTAAAAATTCACTTGTTAAATTTAACTAAACAAAAGAGCTCCGAGCAACTTAGCAGTGGCAACAACATAACTGAAGGGCTTTATAACTCTATGATTTCCATACAGTACTTTAAGAAAAATGATCAATATAATTTTCATCAACAACTATCATTACAAACCGAAGACTGAGAAACATAAAATGTATGACTCGCCACACATAACATTAAGACCAATATGGCAATAACAATAAGAATATGAACCCCAAATACATAGATTAGGCTAACTACCTGGACCACACCTTCAGTGAAGCCATCACCGACTTGCAAATTCTGGACAGCTTTTGAAAATGCCGCTGCAAACTTCTCATAAATACCTGAACAAAAGGTTCAATAAATCCACAAGAGAGAAAAGATAGCAATCCACGTAATGACTGCACTGTGAAATTTGTTGTACAATAATGAAATTGGCATACATTTTTACCACTATAAGCATAAATAGAAACACATTAAAAATTATTGTTATTATTAATATTAATATGACCGTCAACTCCTCCCAGCATTGAATATTCATGTAGTTTAATGACTATCATCCATCCGTTCGAGTTGCAGCATTAGTTGTAAGATCCTAAATTATAAAAAACGAATCAACTGGAACAAACTAAAAAATAAAATAAAATGGAGCAAAACTTTACTAGCGTGCACTTCTTATGACATGAGAGAGACAGAGAACCCATATTTTGCAAGTTAAAGAAAACTACATTCCCATATAACTACAAGCAAAGATCCTAAATGTGTTTGGTTCCAACAAAAGTGACTTTTTCTGTTTGCATTTTCAAATAACAAAAAGGAATAAAGTGTGAAAAGGCCATTAAACTTCTCTGAAATGTGTTGTTAAACCATCATTCCTTTATTTGGTTCAATCAAGCCATTGAACTTTTACTCCCATCAGTTAAGCCTCATTAACAACAGACTGTTATCTATACCATCACAACTTGAAACAAAAACTAATTGAGTAACTTGAAATATGGTATACTCTTAACAGATTTGCCTTAATTTGACCTAAATAATAGTTCAATGATAGCACCCTAAGCATGTAGCTCAAAGGTAGGTGCATGCATCCCCCACACAAAGAGCTATGTATGAATCCCCCCTCCCTAAATCAAGAAATATATATATATATATATATATATAAATGAAATAGTTCAATTGGTAGGATGTAAGAACAAAGTTAGAAAAAAACTTAGAGGGCCTTTTCATCCTCTATCTCAAAACAAAACAAAACACAAACCATTGAAAACATTTTTGGAGGGTGATACTAGAAAACAATTTTGTAAAGTGACAATGAGCCAAATTTTGATACAAAAGCAGTTGTTTTCATAGTTTTGGAGAATTCAAGAGAAAACAAGGATAAAAGATACTACATGGTTGTTTTCCATTTTATAGTTTATGAACCATAAGAATGGCCCAGGACCAATTCTTGTGAAACATATCATATCTTGAAAATTGAGACTACTGTATCTTTTTATTTTAGATATCCCTTTATAATTACAAAACCAATGGCTTGGGATTTTACAACACTATTTCTCACATATTAGATGTACAAAATAAAACAATGTTATTTGTCAGTTCTTAAAGAGAAAAGAAAGACCATAATAATAAGTACATTTTCACTATATTTATATTATTTGAAAATATTAGAAGAATTCAATTAATTATTGTATTTGTTTCTTTAAATAAAGTTACTTTGTTATTTTTATTTTGTGTAAAAAAATTATTGTATTTCCATTTAGCTAACACATTTTTCATTAATAATAAATAGAAATAAAAATTATCAAAAAAAAAAAAATTATAGATCCAAATACACTTGAAGTTTGCCAACACGGACAAACATACTAAAATAAAATGAATTGCTTACAGACTTCCATTGAATACATATAGATCCATACCTTCTTGCACAATTACCCTGTTTGCACAAACACAAGTCTGTCCACTATTACGAAATTTCGCTGCAAGCTGCAAGTTGCAAGGTATTGTTAATGATACAACAATGATGATAGTACATACTTGGGTCAAGAATGAAATGAAAGATACCATTGAACAGGATAGTAGAATGCATATTTACAGCCAATTTCATGTGTCCAAAAAATTAAACAAAACTTGTTAGCTTTTAAACCAGCCAGAGTGCCAGGGCCAATAAAATCCTCAAGCTGCAGAAACTGTAGTTCTAGGCAATGGCAGCAATTTGGATCACAGACCTTTGATAGTGGGAGAACCAGTGACCACAAACCCTATATTGGTTTCCTTTGCCGGCACCATTCCCAAGTTCACACCTAATATCAGCATGCACTCTGAGATAGTACATTGAAATTAAACCCAATGTTGTTAACCCTGCACAGGGTATGGCAAAGGCACCTGATTTTTCTGAAAAGTACACTTCACCCCCAAATTGCATTTCCATAAGCTTGATGTCAAAAATGCCTTCCTCAATGGTGACTTGGAAGATGAGGTCTACATGAAAATTCCTCCAGGATTTGAAACAGCAAGTAATATAAACAAAGCCTGCAGGCTCCGAAAGTAACTATATGCCCTAAAAGCAATCTCCTAAGGCAGTCAAGAAGCATGGATATTCTCAAGGGCAGGCAGATTATCCTTTATTTACCAAGCACTCACCAGAAAGGAAGATTGCTATTCTCATTGTGTATGTTGATATTATCCTGAAAGGAGATTTTAAAGAAGTAATGAAAATGTTAAAGATTGTTCCTGCCAAGGAATTTGAAATCAAAGATCTCGGAGCTCTCAAAGACTTCCTAGGCATGGCAGTTGCTTGGTCTAGGAAGGGCAATTCAGTTTCTCAACGTAAGTACACTCTGGATTTATTGAAAGAAACAGGAATGCTTGAATGTAAACCTGCTAAGACTCCGATGAGTTCTACCTGTAAAGTGGGAATGAAAGGACAATCTCCAATCAAAAAAAGGAAGATATTGGAGGAGGCTTATAGGGAAACTCATACAGCTTTCTCATACAAGGCCAGATATTGCTTTCTCAGTTAGTGTGGTGAGCCAGCACATAAATGATCCTTTTGATAAACATCTTGATGATGTCTATTGGATACTCAAGTATCTTAAAATAACACCAAGCAAGGGTTTGTTTTTCCAAAAGGTCACAAACAAAGATGATCAGATGCTGATTTGGCTGGTGCAATAACAGATCAAAGATCCACCTATGGCTACTTTACTTTTGCGTAGCAAATCTTGTCACATGGCAAAGTAAAAAGCAATCTGTTGTTTCAAGAAGCAGAGCTGACACTAAATTCAGGACTATGGTGCATTATATTTGCAAAGAAATATGGCTGAAGAGACTTCCTGAAAAACTAAAGATTCCAATCAATGGTTCAATGAAGATGTTCCCTAACAATCAGGCAGCAATAAACATTGCAAAAAATCCTATCTATCATGACAAAATCAAGTGCGTGGAGATTGATCATCACTTCATAAAGGAAAAGATCAAGGAAGGGAAATCAAGATGTCTATACTCCTACACATCTTCAATATGCAAACATTCTTACAAAGCCTCTTCCAAGAACCAATTTTGAAGCTTTGATTACCAAGCTGGGCATGATTGATATTTATGCCCCAACTAGAGGGGGAGTGTGGAATTCCATGACTTAGTCATCTCATTATCCATGACTTCGACTAAGTCTTAGCCGCATATTTAAAATATTGAAACTAATTGTATTAATATTATGATCATTGATCAATACACTTTTAAACTAGTATATTTTGGTTTATAAATAATAATTCATAATTTAATTTTAATTTTTTTACTCCCTCCATTTCAAATTGAATGATCACTTTCCAAATGGGACAAAGTTTTAGGAATGGAATATTTTGTTCCTCACTTTACAAATTTTACCCTTGAAGTTATATAAATGCAAGAGAATCCGACCTAAAGTTAGTTTCTCAATGAAGGGCAACACTAGAAAGCATTTACCATTTCGGGAAAGTGAATTCTTTTGAAACATCCTAAAATTATAATATAGGACACAATTTGAAATTGAGGGAGTAACAAATAATAATCAGTCAAATTTTTAAATTAAATTAAATATTTAACTTAGTAACATTGTCATTTTCCCTCCATACAAAATTTTAGGAAAAAACCTAAAGGGAATGTAGTGGTTTATAAAAAAATGTAAAAACCTTCCCCTCCCAACTTTCCAACCCAACCCATTTCCTTGGCTAAAACTGAAGCTTTCTCACCCAACCTGTGTCCCCCTCCCTTTTTTTTTAATTAAAAGATGCATTATAGGTTGATAAGAAAATACATTTATATAATTGTATTATAAATTGTTAAGCATTTCGGTTAAAGGGTATATAAGTAAATATGCAGAAGACAACCACATTGATAGACTACTTTTTTCACAGTCTATTCTTTACCTTTAACATAGATGAATAATAAATAGTATACTTATCATTTTTCAAAATTAAAAACTTTCATTAAGGAATTAAAAACAAGTTTATCATTTGATCATCTATTCAAATTGTACAAAGCTGTTTAATTACAAGTCAGGTCTACTCAGTTTATGAATTCAGACAATTATGGGTTTTTGATTGGGTCAGTCTTGGGTTCCTTGTTGCTTCGGTTTCAGGTGATTTTGATTTCATATTGCTTCAGTTCATGTCATTTTAGTTTTGGATCATTTCAGGTTCAAGCCCTACCGGATTCAAGTCACTGCAGGTTCATATAATTTTTCATTTCAGGTTATTGAGCCTTTGAGTCAATCTGACTCGGACCAGGTTGAGTTCCAAGTTGGTTTTTGGATTTGAGTCGGATTTTGCCACCTCTAGATAGGATTAATATTGCCATGAAAGGTTCCAAAACAACCCCTGAGAACATTAAGGAGCGAAAAGCATTTATACTGATATCCAGTTTGATACTATAACATATCAAAATTCCATCAGCTTCAAACAGTGGAGGGGTTGGGTAAGAAAAAAGGTAGCACATGCTATGAATTGGCAAAAACCATTCATAATATTAATAACCACAAAGAAGAATTGAATGAAAGAAAGGAAGATGGGAAAGTAAAAAAGAAACAACTAACAGATGTCTAGGTATTTTTAGGTAAAATGAGAAAAGAACAAATCATATACTTAAAACTTGACATAAAGCGATGCTACAAAATCATGCAACTACTACCACCATCCAGAATGGTAGCTGAAGCCCCACAACCAGTTGCGAGTGAAACTCAGGAAATATCTAGGATGGGGAGCATGCAATTGATGTCAATATATATCAAAACTACTCTAAAGTGTAAACTTACCGCTCCTTTAACAGCCACATCCAGGTCTGCGTCATCAAAGACAATGCATGGGGCATTACCACCAAGTTCAAGCGATATCTATAGGAATCCAGAATATAGGCAGTCAACTGCATGATAATTTTCAAAACCACACTGGTTTGGCATATCCATACCCTTTTAACAGTCCCAGCAACACCTGCCATCAACTTCTTCCCAACTGCTGTCGATCCTGTAAACGAGATCTTTCTTACCTGGATAAGTAATAAAAAGCAGGAAAATATAACATTCTGTCAATTATACACCAAATTATTTGTAGAAGGAAGTCAATCATAATGTCGTGTGACAAAACCATCAGATTTATGTTAAGGGTAGAAGACCTGTGGACTTGTAACTAAAGCATCACCAATATCAGGAGCATTCCCCATAACCACATTCAGAACACCCTGCAAGATTGAAAGGAAAAAAACCCACAAGAAACTAATGAAGTAAAATGAATGAACAAGAAATAAATAGCAGATGGAACACCAATGCTGTTCTGGAACTATAGCAAGATCAGCAAGTGCATGTTATCAAAAATTAAATTATGTTATTTCATCATGTTACAAGAATTTCGACCAGTATTAACAACATATAATTTGCTTACTCATGCAGTGAAAAAGTTTCAATGCAAATTAAGGCAGGCTATAAGTATTAACCAATTTGCCCCTCTTCCATTGTCATACTATTGAGAGAGGATTCCAGTGATGTCAGTACATAGTAGCAAGGATGAAGTTATATCTATAGGAATCCAGAATATAGGCATCAGCCTTGGCCCTCCCTAAACTTTTGAAGATCCTCATATAGACCATGCTGAAAGGGGAAATTATGCTTGGTCTCCCCCACGAGAAAAATTTTAATTTGGCCCTCCGTTTCTAAAATTTGAGGATTAATATAACATACATGTTAACTTTTTCTGTTTTAAATCTTGTTATTAAATTAATTTTCTATAGCTTTTTAGGTAACCATGATTACACATTCTCAATTCCTAAGGGTGAGTTTGGATGAGGCATTTGCAGGAAGGATTTAATTCCAATCAAGATTTTCAAAAATCCAAGAATGAATTTACTTGTTTAGGTAAAAATAAAAGAGAATTACAAATTCTAGGAAAAAATTCAAGAGAAAATTTGACCACTTTAAATTCTGTCTTGAAATTTCGCCTAAAGAGGTGACTTTTCAAAATTCCTCCAAATCTTTCATTTTTTTTTACTGCACATGGCCCATTATAAAATACAAAATTCACAAACAAAATGTCATTTTATTTAACTAATATATATTTTTATTTTTTCATATTATTAGTATTATTTTTTTATTTGTAAAAATCTAATTATAGCCATATTGCATTTTTTGTATATATGTATTTTTTATCTTTATATTATTATTATTCTTTTATTATTTTTTTTTTATTTCATCAAATTCCAATAGATTAAATTTTCTTTTAAAAATACTTCTCCAAACAAAACAATTATAAATGCCAGCATTTTGAAATGATACATTTTAAAATACCTTCATTTCAAATATCTTCAAAATTTTAAAATTCCTCGTCCAAATGCACTCTAAGTGATTTTTTAATTCCTTAAATTAAAAGTTTTTATTTTCAATCAATCAAATGGGCATAGTAATATTAATTATTTTCTCAACAGTGTCTTTCTATGTTAATATTAGCAAAAACAAATAAAGTAAGATAAACCATCAAATATTTATGCAAAATTAATTGTGCACTTAACTTATCTTTTTTTTTTTTTCTTCTTTAAGTCACCATAATTCTTTTAAAGTTTTAAAGGTATAATCCTATACTTTTTCTAGTTAGTAGTTAGATTTTGAATTTTTTTTTTTTTACATTAAGACTTTAATTTGTTTTTATTCAATTCTTTCTATATGAAATATGAACTCTAACATTTGAAATTGAAATATTTTTAATCATTAAAAGAAATTTATACATTGTTATGCTATTATACCATCATTGTGTTTAAATTTAGTGTTTTATATACTATGTTTACTTTTACTTTTTTATCATATATAATACACAATTTTATTTTATCTCCGCCCACCCTAAACAAATTTTCTAAATTTAGTGTCTTATATACCATGTTTACTTTTACTTTTTTATTATATATAATACATAATTTTATTTTATCTCCACCCACCCTAAACAAATTTACTAGCCTGCTGAATCATGCTGGGACTAGTGTAGTTCCTTCAACATTGAATCAAACCATATAAAACATTGCCCAAGTGAGAGAATGCAGAATCTGCATTCAGCTACAGGCAAAGCCTGTGTCGACAACTACTCTAGCATTTTAAATTTCTTTGGGTATTTAAGTCCTTTTGGGATTTTAGAATATTTTGGGAAGAAAGGGGAGAGAGAGAGAGAGAGAAACCATCAAAGGAGGAAAAAGGGGTGGAAGGATGGATTGGTCATGTCACAAATTTGGCTGGCAAAGGGCCACAATGGCTTTCCTGATATCAGATTGGTGGTATCCTCGACTCTAGGTTGTCTATGCGTATAAGATTCTTCCATATCACTTTAAATTTTAAATTCATGAACAAGATTTGAGAAGTCAAAAGCTGGCTTCAAAACCCAATGTTATTTTTACATGACAAGACACTAGATATATAATAAACACACATTATATGTATTACATATGTATGTAAGCATCTATGTTTTGCAATAACATCTCCAACTTGCTAATAGAGTTAAGATATTTCTATCATTAATTAATGGTCATGTGGAAATCTAATCTTTATCATTAATTGATTAATTGACTTTTTTTATTTTAGTTAAGTCTCTTATTTTTAGAATAAGGCGTGATTTGGGTAATTACACCAAATCCATTAGATATTTTTCCATTATGTGTAGAGTGTAAAATACTCCTTTGCTTAGCTGTTTTTAATACATGAAAATCTTGGGTTTGGAAGCTAAGACTATTCAGTCTTTAGCCTATATATTTTCATGCAATTCAAGCATTGTAATGAGAAAAATATATAAGAATAAAATAATTTTATTCAAGAGATTTCTTCATGATATCAGAGCACGATCTGAACCTTTGAAAATTTTCACTTAAAGTCCAACATGGCCAGCAAAAGGGAGAGCCCAACTCAATTCAAAACCAAAATCCAAGTGTTTATAACCAACAATGGGAGAGAATACTACAATTCAATCTTTGGATCATATCTAATGAAGCATGGTATAATTCATCAAAGTTCATGTGTTGATACTCCTCATCAAAATGGCATTGCTGAAAGAAAGAATCGACTTTTGTTGGAAGTTGCAAGATCCCTCATGATGGCTGCCCATGTACCTAAGCATTTTTTAGGTGAAACTATTTTTAGCGCTACATATCTTATAAAAAGAATGTCTTCTCGAGTCCTAAAATTTCAAAACCCTTACCAGTCCTTTCTTGGTTCTTATCCTCGAATGCAAATCATCTTGTCTATTCCCATTAAAGTATTTGGATGCACTGCATTTTTTCTTACCAGCCAACAAAACCAAAGCAAACTAGATCCCAAATCCATCAAATGCATATTTCTCAAATACTCCCCCGAATAAAAAAGGATATAAGTGTTACTCACCAGTAACAAAGAAATTCTACCATTCCATGAATATTACCTTTCTAGAAAATCAACCTTACTTTCCCAAAACTGCCATTCAAGGGAAGAATCCAATCACACGGGAATATTAGCTTTGGGAAAATCCTATTATTGAACCACTAAACACTTCTCAAACTCCCTTTCATGTCCAAAACATCCAACCAAATCCTCCAACTCCATTTCAAGTCCAAAACATCCAACCAAATCCTCCAAGCCCAAAGTGCACACAAGAGAAAACAAACAAAGAATTGATTGTCTATTCAAGAAGACATAAAACTCAGATGGATCCAGGAGAATGCACACCTTCAAAGCAAAACCAAGAATCTAAATCAATTCTAGAGATACTTGAAACCAACACAGGTAACACTCTTACTGAATCTGATTCAATTGAATCTTTTAATGATCTTGATCAACAGATTACTCTAAGGAAAGGTGTGAGATCATGTACTCAACACCCAATCTGTAATGTGGTGTCTTATAAAGGTTTATCACCCAGCTATCGAGCTTTTGTTACCACACTAAACAATATGCAGATTCCCAATAATATTCACAAAGCACTCATGCAACTAAAATGGAAGATGACTGTTTTGAAAGAAATCAGGGCCTTAGAAAAGAACAAAACATGGGAGATTTCAGAACTCCCCAAAGGAAAGAATCCAGTTAGGTACAAATGGATTTTTACTGCCAAGCACAATGCATATGGAAGTATTAACATATTCAAAGCTAGCCTTTTTGCAAAAAGATTTACTCAATCTTATGATGTTGACTATGAGGAGACATTTGCTCCGGTTGCTAAACTTAATTCAATCCGAGTGTTATTATCATTGGTAACAAATCTAGATTGGCTATTCCACCAACTAGATGTAAAAAATGCATTTCTTAATAGCAACCTAGAAGAAGAAGTTGACATGGAAACCCCTCCAGGATTCAAAAATCAGGACAATTTTGGCAAGGTATGCAAACTTCAAAAGTCTTTATATGGTCTCAAACAATCCCCACGCGCATGGTTTGATAGACTAATAAAAGTGGTAAAGAAGTATGGTTTTTCACAATGCCAGATCGATCACACCATGTTTGTCAAACATTCACCTGAAGGAAATCTAGATTGGCCACTCCACCAACTAGATGTCAAAAAACTCATTTCTTAATAGCAACCTAGAAGAAGAAGTTTATGTGGAAATCCCTCCAAGATTCAAAAACCAAGACAATTTTGGCAAGGCATGTAAACTTTAAAAGTCTTTATATGGTCTCAACAATCCCCACGTGCATGGTTTAATAGACTAACAAAAGTGGTAAAGAAGTATGGTTTTTCACAATGCCAGACCAATCACACCATGTTTGTCAAAATTCACCTAAAGGAAAAATAGCCGTTCTTATTGTCTATGTGGATGACATTATTCTTACTAGAGACTACGTGGAAGAAATTAGCAACCTAAAGAACCTCCCAGCCAAAGAATTTGAAATCAAAGATTTAGGACATCTCAAATATTTTCTTGGCATGAAAATAGCTCGCTCAAGAAATGGCATCTTTGTTTCACAGCATAAGTATGTCCTAGACTTATTAAAGGAAACTAGAATGCTTGGATGCAAACCTACTGACACCCCTATGGACACAATGAATAAGGTAGGAATGGAAGAAAGAAGTCCACCAACATCTAAGGGCAGATATCAAAGACTTGTAGGGAAACTCATCTACCTTTCTCATACAAGACCAAATATCAGTTTTTTGGTTAGCATGGTAAATAGATTCATGAACAATCCAACTGAAGAACACTTGAGGGCTGTGTATCAAATCTTACAATACCTAAAGAAGAGTCCTAGCAAAGTGTTATTTTTTAAGAAGACATCATGCCAAAATGTTGACATTTACACTGATGCTGATTGGGCTGGATCCATTATTGACCAAAGATCAACTACTGGTTATTGTACCTATGTGTGGGGAAATTTGGTTACTTGGCGAAGTAAGAAGTAATCTGTGGTGGCTAGAAGTAGCACGGAAGCTGAATTTAAGGCTGTCTCATTGTTTATATGAGGGAATTTGCCTAAAAAGGTTGCTAAGGGAGTTAAAGGTCTTTGCAAAAGAATCCATGAAGATATTCTATGACAACAAAGTTGCCAAAAGTATAGCAAAGAATCCTGCTCATCATGATAGGACTAAACATGTAGAGATTGATTGTCACTTCATCAAAGAGAAGATAGAGGAAGGGATTGTTAGATTAGCATATACTACCACATGCCTCCAAACTACAAACATACTCACTAAAGCTCTCTCTTTAAATAACTTCGAGAATCTGAAGTCCAAGCTAGGTATGATTGACTTCTACTACGCAGCTTAAGGAGTAAATTACTCCTATGATTAGCTGTTTTTAATGCATGAAAACCAAAATTACTCCTTTGATTGGCTGTTTTTAATTCATGAAAATCTTGAGTTTTAAGGCTAAGAATATTCAGCCTTTAGCCTATATATTTTCATGCAATTCTAACATTGTAATAAGAAAAATATAGAAGAATAAAATAGTTTTATTCAAGAGATTTCTTCAAATAATAAAGATAGTATCTATCATGTTGTGGCACTATCAATTAGGTCACCCAAATTTTTTGTACCTCAAAAGGTTGTTTCCCTCATTATTCAATAAAAATCCTAAAAACTTTCAGTGTGAAGTCCACCAACTATCCAAACATAGCCATACCACATATCCTAATCACTCTTACAAATCATCCCATCCTTTTTCCATGATACACAGTGACATTTGGGGTCCCTGCAAAGTAAATAACATTATTGGCTCCAAATGGTTTGTCACATTTATTGACAATCACACCAGGGTTACTTGGGTATTCCTTAAAAAGGAAAAATCAAAAGTGGGCCAACTATTCTAAAACTTCAACAATATGATCCAAACTCAATTCAAAACCAAAATCCAAATGTTGAGAACGGACAATGGAAGAGAGTACTACAATTCAATCCTTGGATCATATCTAATGAAGCATGGTATAATTCATCAAAGTTCAACAGAATGGCGTTGTTGAAAGAAAGAATCGACATTTGTTGGAAGTTCCAAGATCCCTCATGATGTCTGCCCATGTACCTAAGTTGTTTTGGAAGACATCAGGGCCTTAGAAAGAACAAAACATGGGAGATTTCAAAATTACCCAAAGGGAAAAATCCAGTTGGGTGCAAATGTATTTTTACTGTCAACCACAATGCAAATGGAAGTGTTAACAGATTCAAAGCTCGCCTCGTTGCAAAAGGATTTACTCCATCTTATGATGTTGACTATGAGGAGAGATTTGCTTTGGTTGCTAAACTTAATTCAATCCGGGTGTTATTATCATTGGCAACAAATCTAAATTAGCTACTCCACCAATTAGATGTCAAAAATGCATTTCTTAATGGTGACCTAGAAGAAAAAGTTTACATGAAAATCTCTCCAATATTCAAAAACCAGGACAATTTTGGTAAGGTATGTAAACTTCAAAAGTTTTTATATGGTCTCAAACAATCCCCACGTGCATGGTTTGATAGACTAACAAAAGTGGTAAAGAAGTATTGTTTTTCACATATTGCCAGACCAATCACACCATGTTGGTCAAACATTCACCTAAAAGAAAAATAGCCACTTTTATTGTCTATGCAGATGACATTATTCTTGTTGGAGACTATGTTGAAGATGACATTATTCTTGTTGGAGACTATGTTGAAGAAATTAGCAACCTAAAGAACCACCTAGCAAAAGACTTTGAAATCAAAGATTTAGGACACCTCAAATATTTTCTTGGCATAAAGGTAGCTTGCTCAAGGAATGGCATCTCTGTTTCACAGCGTAAGTATGTCCTAGGCTTACTAAAAGAAACTGGAATGCTTGGATGCAAACCTACTAACACCCTTATGGACACAATGAATAAGGCAGGAATGGAAGAAAGAAGTCTACCAACAGATAAAGGCAGATATCAAAGACTTGTAGGGAAACTCATCTACCTCTCTTATACAAGACCAGATATCAGTTTTTTGGTTAGCAAGGTTAAACAAATTCATGAACAACCCAACCAAGGAACACGTGAGGGCTGTATATCGAATCTTACAGTACCTAAAGAAGAGTCCTAGCAAAGTATTATTTTTTAAGAAGGCATTACACTAAAATATTGAAATTTACACTGATGTTGATTGGGCTGGATCTGTTACTAACAGAAGATTAACTACTGGTTATTGTATCTATGTGTGGGGAAATTTGGTTATTTGGCGAAGCAAGAAGCGATTTGTGGTGGCTAGAAGTAGCACGGAAGCTGAGTTAAGAGCTATCTCTCATGGCATATGTGAGGGAATTTGGCTGAAAAGATTGCTAGGGGAGTTAAAGGTCTTTGCAAAAGAATCCATGAAGATATTCTATGACAACAAAGCTGCCATAAGTATAGTAAAGAATCTTGTTCATCATGATAGGACTAAATTTGTGGAGATTGATCGTCACTTCATCAAAGAGAAAATAGAGGAAGGAATTGTTAGACTAGTTTATACTCCCACATGCCTCCAAACTGCAGACATACTCACTAAAACTCTCTCTCAAAACAACTTCGAGAATCTAGTCCAAGCTGGGCATGATTGACATCTACCACCCAACTTGAAAGGGAGTGTAGAAATCTAATCTTTATTATTACTTCATTATATTACTTTGTTTATTTTAGTTAAGTCTCTTATTTTTAGAATAAGAAGTAATTTGGGTAATTACACCAAATCCATTAGATATTTTCCCATTATCTGTAGAGAGTAAATTACTCCCTTGATTAGCTATTTTTAACGCATGAAAATCTTGGGTTTTAAGGATGAAAATATTTGGTCCTTAGTCTATATATTTTCATGTAATTCTAGCATTGTAATGAGAAAAATATAGAAGAATAAAATAGTTTCATTCATGAGATTTCTTTATATCACAATTGGTTTTCTAGAACAAGGTTAAAATTACCATTTCAAGAACAAGTTTCGAATTATCATTACATGCTAACACACTGCAATATAACCTTGATGAATGATAAAACCTTATAAAAAGTGTGAAATAGATTAAAGAATTACTGGTGGAATTCCTGCTTGAAGGGCAAGTTCAGCTGCTGCTAAAGCTGTGAGGGGAGTAAGTTCAGAAGGTTTTACAACCACTGTACAGCCACAAGCAAGGGCAGGGCCAACCTGATACAGCCATGAAAAGGACTATTTTATTCCTTCAGCAGCCTAGGAAAATAATACGACCAAAAGTTCTTTATATGGCACGCACCTTTCTAGTGATCATTGCTAAGGGAAAGTTCCAGGGTGTAATTGCACCAACCACACCTACAGGCTGTCAAAAGAATTAAGAAAGGCAATACTGCAGGAAAGTAAAAATAAAAGAAATCTCACACTAACAGTCAGCACTCAGCACTAAGAAGTGTTATTAAAGCTTTGTCAAAACCCTTTTCACTAAAATAACTCAATATATAACTGGTTTCTAGTGCATTGACACTATAAGCCAGCTTAACAACAGCAACAGTTAAAGGAACAGACACTAAAACAGCAGGAAAGTCATTCTCATCTGTGAATTCCCCTCTTTTCACCTATCAAATTAATTTCTGAGAATTACTCCTTTGAACTCTTCAAACTTTGGGATATTAGTGGTTCTTGTACAAATATAATGATTGCATCATGTCTATGATCAGAAAGCTGGTGAACAAAAGATCTGGTTCATTCATAATGCCTTCTTCTGCATGATGTTAGTATTTCCACAATTGTCTATTTACTACATGGCTGTCATGAGGGTAAGGTTCCCTTCCCTCATGGATTGGGCAGCTTCAAGATACCACCTGATGGTTAGTAGGTGGCATTTGGGTTCTGTTGAATGCACGGGAGCTAAAAGTAAACTTATCCTTTTGATTATTGAAAGAGATTGGCAGACAGAGTCAGCAATATTAGACAACAGATATTTTTGTGGTTGACTAATTTGTGGATTTTAAATGCACAAGGTTATTCTCCCAAAAGGATCATCCAAGACATTCCCATATGACACCAAATGGTATGAAAACTATAAGAAGTCAAACTACTTTCATGGTTATAGAGGAATTTTTGGATAGGGGAAATAATTCCACTTCTTTCATATCTTTAGTTCATGTTTATCTTTCTTATCCTTTTTCTCATATGCAGGTTTTTTCTCTTAAATACAAAAAGGGACATCACCCATATTTTCCTCATACAGAAGCAACAACATTGCATGAAGTAAACCAGCATTCTTAACAGTCATGTCAACAAGTATTTCCCCTTAAATTACGGTCAACATATCAGATTTCCATTAGAAGACAATATCAAATCAAAAGAGGAAATTATTTAAAATTTGTATGAGTAATCAACATTTACATATTGGAAGAAATAATTTGCAAGTGGCAGACTACGGTCATACAGGACTTAAACAAGACAAATTTATCCTTACCTGTTTTAGAACAAACAAACGACGGTCATCTAGTGTAGCGGGAATTATATCTCCATAAACCCGCTTGGCCTCCTCCGCAAAGAATTCAATAAAACTGGCCCCATAACTAACCTATAGTTTGAGTCTTATCATCAGCATCGACAGACAATGAACTACTGACAGTCAAAGCCAGTTGCTTAAATTTAATAACACTAAGTTTCAAATGGATACCTCACCAAGGGCTTCTTTCAAAGGTTTTCCTTGCTCTAACGTTATTAGTTGCCCAAGCTCTTCCTTATGTGACATTATAAGATCATACCTTTTCAATAGATGTCAAAGAAAAAAAAAAGATTTATTTGATATACCTTCAATCAATTTTAATTAAGCCAGTCATACATGGAGAATGAATAGTTCACTCTAACTAAAAGACTATATTCTGGTTATTAGCCTTTCAAATAGATAAGCATTTAAATTTACATATTACAATATATCTTTTACCAATCTGGACCATTTTGATGTCAAAGCAGGAGATTTACTCCCAAACTTTGCTACAAAAAAAACATCTTTAAATTTAGAAAACATATATTTCAAATTCTAAGTATCCTTGAGCTATAATCATTTATCAAAATATCACAAGTTATATCATGCAAAAAAACAAGGTTCTATTCAAACGGGTGACTATTTCAAATTTCAATTGAAATGTGTCATATACAGAGATCATAGGATAAAGGTAATACCACTTTCTAAGACATCTGCTCCTCTCAGCAGCAGTAAGTTTACTCCAAGCTATAACAAAAAAGGAAATGAGGATCATCAGGTAAACTAGATTTCAAATCCAATTAAACTTTGAATCTCAGTATGTCAAAGCTACCAATCAATAACAACCTCAGTCCAATAGTATACATAATAACATCTATTCATACACAAAATACATCTAACCATCAAAGTAAGGCCCAACCAATATCATACATTTTGCTATTCAAGCAAAAAATGCAACATGCATTGAAGCATAATTATTCCATACTAAGCTAATATCAAACATTTTATTATTCAGAAAAGTTAAATTTTTAATTTTTTATGTGCTTCTGTATCCAAAGGTGCCTTTCGCTTTTTGCTTCCAAAAGCAACAATCAAATGGCAAAAGTAAAAGCCAAAAGAAGGCTCCAATTTCGTAAGCACATGATCCGATGACCGAAGATAAAGGAACAAGAAATGATGAGCACCGAGGCCAAGAAGTATATAATCATATCCAATGGCACTCAAACGGTTGTGGAGATGTCATCCATGAACAACTAGAACAAAAGCAACTTAGTATGCAATGTAAATCATATGAATTCTTCAATACCATGTAACAAGCAGACGTATATTGAAAAACCCAAACCAAATATACATCAAATAAGTCAGAGAAGAGGAATTGTAAGTGTTTGGTACAAGGAAAAGCATCATATGCAGAAGAAATGGCATCATTTGTCTCTCGTCGTCCCATCAAGGGAACATCTGCAATAACTTCCCCGGTTGAAGGATTGTTAACCTGCCATAACACCGAAAACAGATTTAAGCACAAGTGAAACAATGGAAACACCAAGAGAAAGCTGAAAGTAGTGGAACAAAACCTGAAGAGTCTTGCCATTATAGGCGCCAATCCATTTGCCTCCGATTAGACCCTGGCTTTGGAATATGCTAGAATTCTTAAGCCCAGCAGCAATACTCATCTGATGAAAATAAAAAACTCTTTCAACAAACAGAAAAAAGAATTCGTTTGGATTTAGGGGAAGTGAGGAGTTATAATAGAGAAGATAGAGAAGACCTGGCGAGACGCAGAGGGGCGATGCATGCGAGACAAATGTGAGAAGAGAATCTTGCAAAGTGCCAAGCGAGCTACCCTCATTTTCTGCAGTTAAGATTCCACACTCTTTCTTTGTCTCTTTGTGTGCTTTCTTTTCTGATTTGTATATTCAAATTTCAGAGTGGAGAGCGGAAGAAGAAGAAGAAGAAGATCATCAACGTGAAGCAGTAGTAGATTATTAGGAATAGTCCGTGAGACTGATAGATGGCTTCCTTTCAAGATTTCTGATCCGTTCTTTGCTCTGTACAACTTTGACTAATTTTTTGTTCAGTCCCATCCCATCTCATAAAATCAAATAAGTATAATAATATAATTAATTAAGACAATATAAACGAAAGAAAATTACAACATTTTTGTTTTAGGTAAATCTTTACCTCCATATATTTTTCGTCTAAAGACCATTTATATCTGCGATACTTGTTCTTTTTTTATTAAAAAATGTATTACATAATTAATTAAGGATGTTTGCGGTATTTTATAAGCAATGGCTAAAATCTCAACATCTAAACAAATATATAATTTTATTTATAATTCTTTATAAGTATAATACTTTGTACATTTTAGATATAAAAAGATTTTTTTGTTACATCAAGAAGGCAAAACCTTAGTATAAGAAAGTAGAAAGAGGGAAATCTAATTTGAAATCAAATCATTAATGTCTCTTCAAATGTTTTTAATCACTAGTTTAAAGACTTGAAAAAATACAATGTTCGAAAGAAAACTTTTTACTTTGTCAATGATATTTTTATATTTTCACATACTAAAAATAAAGGTCACATGACATTGAAATGAGGCTAAATGTTTATTCAAAAACGGAAAGTAAGTGAGAGAAAGAAAAAATTAGTTTGATTTTATCTAAATCTTAGTTCTAAAATCTAATTCCTTCTCTATCACCTCAGTTAATATATTTTAATTTAATTTTTTTTCTTTTTCATTTCTTGCCTTTCCTTTTTTCTATGGCTTGCTGATTTTTCATTTTTATATTATTCATAATTTTTTATATCTATACTCATGGTTATTATATTTCACTTAAAAAATAATTTTGATTTACAGGCTTTTTTTTATTTACCTTTTTAGATATTTTTTGGAAATCAATATAGATTTTTTTATATTAATAATTTAGAATTTGTTATACTGCCTTTGATGCTTTGTGTCCTCTATTTTTTTCTTGGTTTTTCTTTTTTCCCCTCAAATTTTTCTTTTTTAGATCAATAAAGAGTATACTAATTATATGAAGTTTCATTATTTTATAAAGTTTTAGCAATAAGGAGACCCATTTTCATTGGAAATAGAAAACAGGACAAATGAATTTAGGGTAAAGATAAGGAAACTATTATCAAGCAAGGACAAGCTTTCTTTCATTTCCTTTACTCTATTTATGTTGCCACTCTTATCAATCTCAAGGTCTATCCCTTTCTGTCTTCCCTTATAACTTTCAATTATTTGTTTGAAATCTTGAATTTCTATTGTTTTAATCTTTTTAGGGGTTTTCTAAATATAGATCATTTATCTATACATAGGTTTCGCAATCTGATTTAGGTACTTCTATTCATCTTCATAAATACATTATTTCAATATATAATATCCTTTATATGATGTTTAGTGGCTGAAAATATATTGAATTGTTCTTTAAGGTTTTCTAGTTTTTTGCTTTCTCACTATGTTTCACTTATTGTAACAGTTTTTCTTAAAAGTGCAATTAAAAATATATGAACAGTGATAACAAATTAGAAATGCAATTATATATTGAATGAATTAATGACTTTAAAGTAATAATACTGAACATTTTAAAATTCCATAAAAACTAGGTTACAATAGAATGTAACAAAAAAATTTTATTTTTTAATTATTAGACTTAGGTCATTTATCTTTTGATTTTGCTCTATTACTCATTATACTTCTTCTTCCACCATTTGTTCCAACCCCATTTTTGTTTGAATGGTTCTATCCTAATATATTAAATGGAAGAATTTAAAATAAGTTACTATTATTTTGTGTTTTTTATCGCAACCACAAAAAAAGAATTTTTGTTAGTTGAGTTGAGTTTGATGATTTTTTTAAAATGTGAGTTTCACATCTTTTGTGTTTTTTACTTTTTTATTTGAAATTTGATGTACTTTTTTAAAAAAAAAATCATTGTAGCTAAGGTTTGAAAATACTTTTTAACTTAAATTTTTAATTACATGTTTTCTTTATAAGTGGCTTTAATGCAAGTTCAAATGTATATTTTAAGGGATATAAATTTTAGGTTTAAAATATTTTTCTTTAGATGAAAGGTATCATTTGTAAAAGTAAATGATTAAATATGACTTAATTTAAGCCTTTATATTTTTACAACTTTGCTATCATTCTATTTTAAGTCATTCTACTCTATGTTAAGTGCATTAATAAAAAGTTTCAAAATATGTATGTATGTATATATATATATTTATATATTTATGCAAGAAAAGAGATGATAGAAGATTCACGATCATCCTTTATCAATAATTTTGACATTTGTAATAGCTTAACTAATGAAGAAAATTTTATGACCAAGTTGTTTAGATTTTGGGGTTATTAAGCGTGCATTTTAGATTTTTTATTCTTGAAATGGGTCCTATTACATGTCTAATTATACTTTTAAAATTTAGAAGTCATGTGATAAAAAAATATTATTATTTTATTACTCTCCTTAAGTTCTTGTAGGAGATTGATAATGTAAGCTAAGGGAGTCAAACAACTGCAGTTTCTTGGCCTTTTAATGGTTGTAAATGCTCACAAGTGTATGCATATTTATGTTAGTTTCAAAGCATTTTTATCATATGCATAATAGAAAGAAAAAGGGAGTTACATTTTTTCTTTCTAAACATATTTTTTTAATCATAGATTTGGATTCTAGCTTTTGGTGTGAAAAAATTAATATAAAAACAATTGCTTATTTTCATAATTGCTAATTTCTTTAATACCTGTTTCATATACTCAGTTTGTCAAATGATTTTGGAGTTGTAACTTTTGTAATTGTAATTGAATTTGCTGACAATTAGGTGCCATTTACTTTTATGAAAAAAGTTAAAGAAAATTTCAATAAGATATATAGTGAAAGGAAGAGTTCATAATAACTTAACATATAACTTTAATTATTAACATAGAACTTTAATTAGTTTTTCTAATTTATTAATAAATTTGTTGATATTGCATTATTATCATTGTAATCCACTGATTTAATTGTTCAAATACTTAAAATATCAAGATTCAATATTTTTATTTTTTTCCTCTTATATATTCTTATTTTCTAAAAATTAATAGCATTATTAATTTTTTAAATACAATCAAATTACATTTTTTTCATTGTTAATTATGCTTTTACTATGTTCTTACAGTGAAACATAGGACATTTATCTAGTTATATTATATATATATACACACATACTCATATATGTGATTTAAGACTCTTTGAATTTATCACTAAAGTTTAAATTGTGACACATAATTAACTAATATTTTATGTTATTCCGTTATCATTCCTTCCATGTTGTTAGCATTAAAAAAATGAGAACAACTTTGTTGATACAAAACCCATTGAATTTTGTCTAAGCATTTGAATAAGTGAGAAAAACAAGAATAAAAATTTATTAAATACAATCAAATATGAGCTATTTTTCTATTCAACAATCAAACCAAAAAAGAGTTCAACTATGATCTTAAAGAGTTTTTGAACGTAAAGGTTTAGGCAAAATTTATTTGAAATTGATTAAAGGGGCACTTTTGAATATGATTTGGCACATGATTTGGAATATATAGAGCAAAATTTTTCAATCTAATAAGATATGTGCGATTCTCACTTCATTTTCATAAAGATTAGTAGAAAAATATTTTTTAAGATTTAAAAAGTTTTAAAAATTTAGAAGTTCTTTTTTGAATAACTAAATTATAGATGATAGTGTAAAACTTTTATAAATGGCCTAAAGTTGTTAAGTTTGAAAGTTTATGAACACAATAGCATATTGTATGGGTAATATTTTGATTAAAATATGAATTTTACTTTCTATTAGATATGGAATGTGAATAAGCTACTTGAATTTCATCATGATAGGTCGTTTGTGTGAATTCTTCACAAGATTAGGGTATAAAAGGATGTTTCATGGATTGATGATTATCTCTTAAACTGGTTGTGTTTTTTGAACTATTAGATTGAGTTATAAAATTAAGCTATGAGTTCACTAGTGAAAAGTATTACTTTGTTAATGAGTTATCATTTGACATTGAATTAGAAATAATTCGTTCATATAGATATGTTGAAGATATAGTCAACAATCATTAAAATAAAACAACAATCCCAATGTATGTTGTAGCTAGTGATCTTCTCTTGTTATTCATCCATATATTCAAGTTGTGAAGGACATGAGATAGAAAAAGATTAATCTAGTCAAGAACTTGATGTGGTTATTGTTAATGAAAATATTATTCCCGTAATATGTGAAAATATATGAAAAAATATTGTTCAATATAATATTTTAATTATGAATGAAAATGAAGAAGAATATAAAGTTGTAAATTTGGTTTAAAATGTGGATGAAAATGTTAATGGAGATGTTGCTATATATGAGAAAGAAGAGAATAATGGAGATAGTGATATGGATGAAGGTAATTATTAGATAGATAATAAATCCGAGTTCAATGAAGGTTTTTTACAACCTCATGATATCAATATTTGGTAGGGAAGTTTTTTATGACTTAAAAGATAATTTTAATTGAAAAATTAAAAAGATTAGAAGAAAGATATCTAGAGAATTTAAATATGATGTTAGTATCTCTCAAGTATATAAAACTAAAAAGAAAAGCTAGAGAAATGATGAAAAAGAATGTTAAGTTACAATATGCCAAATTATGGGATTATTATGACATGATTCGTGAGACAAATCTTGACAACTCTACATTGATGAAACTAAAATCTTAATATGTTGATAATAAAACTAATTAGAAAAAGTTTGTTCTAAGGTTTGAAAGAATTTTCATTATGTTTGATTCACAGAAAAAAGTGATTCATTAATGGATCATAATTAGAACTTTCTTAAGGGTGTTTGATAACATTAAAATCTCCAACAACAATTCAAAGGGTTTATCCAAAATGAAACTCAAATGAATATGTATATATCTTTAAGATCATATTGAATATATAAGTCGTGACAACTTTTTTGTAGACAAGCATAAGTTGCCAAAAAGCTAGCAATGTTAGTAAGCAAAATAGAGATCACCTCGATTTATCAACACTATAAGAAAAATATTGTCTAGTTATAGTAAAACTTGTTGCAAAACACTACTTTATTGTAACTAAAATTATTTTACGAAATTTTTTTTATTGTTCAAGGATCATTAA